CATTCAGCCAGTTCAAATCCAGGTAGCACAAATCACACCTCACCTCCCATTTCACAGATGGGGAAATGGACTCACAGAGTGGGAGGGCCTCGCTCAAGGCTATGCATCTATCATAGAGAGCAGTGTTGCTGGAATTCAAACCTGGATAACTTCACTTCAGAACCACATTCCTAACTGGCTCACACCATCACCTTTGGAAATAAAAACAAACCAATGTCCTCCCACAGTTAAGTGGCTTAAGTGGGCTCATTCGTTGGTCATGAACTGGGCTCCTGGTCCGGGTCCAGCCACAGTGGCTGCAGCCCAGAGAGGCGTGGAGCTCAGGGCTGTGCCTGGTCTGGGCTCACCTTGTGATTTTCAGAAGGAAGCTCGAAGGGAAATGAGAGAGCAAATCACATCTTAGCTGGGGCTTGTAAATCGACTTTTTGCTGCATCCAAGCATCCCAAAGGCACACTAAGGAAAATGATGACCTGTCTCAGCCCTTCTGCATTTAACTACTATTGTACATCCCTTGCAAGTGGGCCCCACTGCAGAGGTCACCCAGCCGGTGCTTCTCAGCCTGGAAGCATGCCAGAACCACTGGGGAACTGCCAAAAGTGTCCATCCCTGGACCATTCCAGACCAAATGAATGGAGTCTCCTGGCGGGGGACCCCAGCATTGCTATCTTTTAAAGCACATCCCTCCCAGGTGATTCTAATGTGCAGCCAGGGCTGAGAATCACCAGTCCAGAATGCATTCCTCTGCACAGATGGGGAAACTGAGACCTGGAGGAGTCAAAGGGCTTGCTCAAGTCTCGGTGCTTCTCAAGAGAGCTTGCTGCCATGGCTTCTGGTTGGGACAGACATGGCTCCCTCTTTCCCAGGTGGGACATTGCTAGTGAGTGGCAGCGGGGGATGCTGGAGTTGGGGGGCAACGTTGGATGGCAGGACTCTTCTGTCATTCAGGGCCCCTGGCTGTGCCATTTCCGGAGCTGGATGTACTCAGGGGCCTGTTTCCAGTTCAGAGGAAGCCCCAGGCTTGAGAGTTGGCAGATCCAGTGCCCGGTTTCCATGGCTACCACAGCTCAGGAAGGTTCTAGAAGTCTGGACGAACTGGCTTGGAGTGTGTATCCCCTTCCAGGTGACACATCAGATCGTCTTCCATTCACTCCCTGTAGGCAGTGGACAGAGGCAGCGGCAGGTGTGGGTGGGGGGCACACCCTTTCCTAAAGGGGACTCACCTGCCTCATGCCTCAGCAGCCCCACAGAGACCCTGCAGGAGGCCATGTCGAGGACATCTCCCAGGAAGGTCTCCCTGAGCAGCTACCAGCAGAAGCATGGGTGGGGAGGACAGCTGCTGTCTCCAGAATCTCCCTTCCAACGCAACCACCCTGACCCCAAGGCATTAACCCTGGGTCAGCAAATGCCACGCTGAGACAATGAGCAGTCCGGCCTTTGCAGGGCTGGCTGCTGCAAACAAGAGTCGGTGCCTACTGGGCCCTGGAGGGACCACACCAGCTGAAACCGCTGCCACGGCAGACAAGAAAACGCTTTCTCGCTGAGCTCCCACAAAGCCCATGGGGGAAGACGCTTCACCAGAATCAACTCTGAAATAGTGGTTTCTTTGGGCACAGGTGACCCTCCGTATCCATGGGTTCCACATCCATGGATTCAACCAGCCAGAGATTGAAAATATTCAAAGAAAACTTAGTCTGTGTTCAACATGCACAGACTTTTCTTGTCATTATTCCCTCAACCACGTAGTATGACAACTATTTACAGAGCATTTACATTGTATTAGGTATTACAGTAATTATAAGTATTTTAAGTAATAGAGATGATTTACAGCACACAGCGTGTAGGTTATATGCAAATGCCGTGCCATTTCCTATCAAGGACTTGAGCATCCTCGGATGCGGGTCTCCTTAGAAGGTCCTGGAAACAATGCTGCATGGATACCGAGGATGACTCTATGTGCATTAGTGTTTGTTGCATAGAAATTGGGAGCTCAGGCTCTGGAACGAGACTGCCAGGTTCAAATCCCACCTCTGCCACTTACTAGCTGTGAGATCTGTTTTTACATCTGTGAGGAGGGTATGACAGTCATGTCTACTTTGGAGTTGGTTGTGATGATGAAGTGGGTTGAAGTGTGCCTGGTGCCTATAACAGGGCCTGAAACATGGCAGGTACCTACTCCATGCTGGTTGTGATGATCATCTCCGCGTGGAGGATGAAGGGAGAGAATAAATATTGCTTTTTTTTTTTTTTTTTTGAGATGGAGTCTTGCTCTGTCACCCAGGCTAGAGTGCAGTGGTGCAATTTCGGCTCACTGCAACCTTCACCTCCCAAGTTCAAGCTGTTTTCCTGCCTCACCCTCCCAAGCAGCTGGGACTACAGGTATGTGCCACTGTGCCTGGCTAATTTTTGTATTTTCAGTAGAGATGGGGTTTCACTGTCTGGCCAGGCTGGTCTTAAACTCCTCACCTCAGGTGATCCACCCATCTTGGCCTCCCAAAGTGCTGGGATTACAGGCATGAGCTACAGCACCTGACCAAATATTGCATTTGGTTTTCCAATCACAAGTACCATGATGGTACAGCAAACGCAAACAATTCTGTGCTTACTGCAAAGCTGTGCTGTGAGCTCCAAGGGGTCCTAGATTTTGGTCTCACTGGTCAGGGCAGAATGGCTGAGCCCATGGGAAGCCTCGGGTTGTAAGGTGCTTCCAGGAGTGGAAGGAGCAGTGGACAGTCACCGTCACGCTGAAGAACTCTGACCACAGCCAGCATTTCTCTGGGATGTGGCCTGCTTATCTGAGTGACCTGAGACCTTGACACCTGAGCAAGCAGCTGGTCCAGGAAGAGCCAGGCAACGTCCCAGGAGCAGTTCCAGCTCCCCATCCATTGCTGGACCCTTCCACGCTGAGGGAGGATCCCAGGGGATGAGAGGTGTCCGGCGGGAATGTTCGGTTGCCTGTCATAGGCTTGACGACGTGTCATCCTCCTGGGCTCCCTGACAGACTCCTCAGTAAATCTGCATTGCTCAGTCCTTCCATGCAAGTGGATTCTGTTCAGGAACTCAGAAAGAAGCCAAGAGCCGCCTCCCAGTCGGGTGGTGGGCTGGGGGAGGAGCCTGAGGCCCTGGGACAAATGGCGTCCGGGATATATATACACACATGCGTGTCTGTGTATGTAGATGGTGGCACATGTTCTGTGCACATACGGGGGAAAGGATGAATGCCGTGAGACAGTGCAGATAAAGTAACAGAATGCAAAGTTAGAGCTGGCTTCCAGCTGACGGACCCTGCCAGCATCAAAAAGCAGGAGGGCTTCGACGTGGGGAAAGCTTCCAGGGAGGCTGGGGGGTGAGGAGATGCTGACTGTGTTTCGGGAGGTACCACCGGGTGGGTAAGTTGGCAGGCAGAGCTGGAGAGAGGAGGAGGGGACACTTGAGAGGGTGGAAAGCTTCCATGCCAAGGTAGAGAGTTTGGATTTTACCCTGCAGATAAGAGGGGGCGGATATAAGAAGTATTTTTGCACACAGGAGTGATATAAAAAGTGCTGCCTTTCTAAAGAAAGAGCAGTCTGACGGCCGGTGCTGGGAGGTGAGGAAACGGGGCCAGGGAAAGCTGTGATAAGGGTGTGGCCAGAGGGCTGCCTGTGAAGGCAGAGAAGGCTCAGCTACTGCGTCAGGCACGAAAGGCAGCAGAGTGGCTCTCTGACCCCATTTGGAAAAAAGCCCCCGAAGGAACCTAGTAACTAGAAACAGCAGCCCCCGCTCTGCCTCCAGCATGCTGGTTTCTGGTCAAGCAGGAGAGTGATGAGAGCCCAGAGGAAATACACACTTGAGAGATCCCAGGGTGGCTGCCCCAGCTCAGATCCCAGTGGCTGGAAGACAAGCCTGCAGGGTGGAGGCTGTCAGAGCCCAGAGCACAGGGGCCGCACGCAGGGAAAGCTAATCCCAGAGCGGCCGGCCAGGGCCCGCTGCAGTGCACGTGACAGTGATGGACGGGGACAGAGGATGGGCCCTCCCATCTCCTCAGAACCCCAGGACTTGTGTCTTTCAAAACAACTGCCTGAAAAGATGCAAACCTTAACTCCGTGTTTCCTACACAATGAAAAACAAATAACGTTGCGGGTCGGGTAACACATGCCTGGTCCTCTACCGCACAGAAGTCAGCTTTCACTGAGTTGGTCCAATCCGACACTTACTTAGCAAACACCTTCTAGGTGCCAGGCCCTACATCAGGTGTTGGGGCTATGCCAGGAAATAAGACAGAGTCCTTGGGGGAATTGGGCCCACAGAAAGGGGCAGGCATGGCATGCAATGGGCGACTCTGCAGAAGAAGTCTGCGGGGAGTGTGCCTTGCTTGTAAACTGCCTATCTAACCATCTCACTTGTAGATGGTAAGCACCATGAGGGCAGGAGAAGGGTTGTCCTCCTGTCCCCTCCAGCTCCTGCATCCACGGCAGTGCCTAGCCTGGAGTGGCCCTCGTGGCATGCTCATCAAATGGGTAGATGGATGTCAGACTCCAGGGTGGGAAAGGACCCAGGGAATTTGCTGGACTCCAACCTCCTGGCTCCAAGTAACACACAACTCATGGTCTCCTCATCTGCTCTGTCTCCTCCCAACCCTGCCCTATGGCTCCGAGAGGCCTTTGAAAGGCAGGAGCCTAGACCTTCACCTCACCCCAGCTTCTCTCCCAGCTGCCCTAGACTGTAATTAGTAATCATCATTCTAAACGTTTTTATAGCACTTCAGCATTCACAAACCACTTTTCACCCATTACCTCCCTGGGAGCCCACAGAAACTCTAAGGAGGGACTCAGAATGAACTTTCCTGGAGTAGACGCGATTTTACCTGTTCCAGGAGGGAAAGGCACCTGACATTTTGCACGTGTAATTAACTTAATTATCTCAGCAACAATGCAAGGGAGCGATTATAATTCCTGTTTTACAGATGAGAAACTGATATTCAGGGAGGTTACAAATGTGGCCCAAGGACTGCAGCTAAAGGATGGTGGAGTTGGGATTCGAACCTGCTTCTGACTCCAAGTCCAGTAATAACAACAGGAACGAAGACAGAAACAATGGCAGCAATGAGCCCTGAGTGTGAACTCTGGGCCAAGTGCAGAGCCTGGTACCTCACGTGTGCTACTAATTGTGTTCATTGCTAACAAGGGGAAGGGGGATGCAGATTAGGTAGACAGACTCAGGGAGGAGGCTTCTGTGGCAGGGGCGGCTGGGGACAGGTGAGCATTAGTGCCTGGACCCCACCCCACCAGCACAGGTGCAAGCAGATGGAAAGAATGATAGAAAGGAGGCAGAACCCACAGGGCTGCGTGAGGAGTAGGGAGTGGGTGTTGGGGGGAGAAGGCTGGCCTGGTACCAGGCATGATCCATGAGTAGGGAATATGTGACGCTGTGTGGTCACTCCTAACCCGCCCCCTCCCACCAATCTTCCTCCCAATGGCTCCAACCTGCAGACTTAGGCCACACACATTGAGAGCTGTGATGGTTAATATTGAGTGTCAACTTGATTGGGTTGAAGGATGCAAACTATTGATCCTGGGTGTGTCTGTGAGGGTGCTGCCAAAGGAGGTAAACAGTTGAGTCAGTGGGCTGGGAAAGGCAGGCCCACCCTCTATCTGGGTGGGCACCATCTAGTCAGCGGCCAGTGCTGCTAGAATAAAGCAGGCAGGAGAAGGTAGAAGAGCAGACTGGCTGAGTCTTCCGGCCTTCATCTTCCTCCCATGCTGGATGCTTCCTGCTCTCAGACACCAAACTCCAAATTCTTCAGCTTTTGGACTCTTGGACCTACACCAGTGTTTGCCAGGGGCTTTCAGGCCTTGGGCCACAGATTGAAGTCTGCACTGTTGGCTTCCCTGCTTTTGAAGTTTTGGGACTCGGACTGGCTTCCTGGCTCTTCAGTTTGTAGACTGCCTATTGTGGGTCTTCACCTCCTAATCATGTGAGTCAATACTCCTTAATAAACTCCCCTTCATATATGCATCTATCCTATTAGTTCTGTCCCTTTAGAGAACCCTGACTAATACAAGAGCCAAGAGTCAAATGGAAACCAAAATCATCCATTTCTGATTAAACTCCAGGAGCTGATGGCTTAGGCTCGAGGCCAAAAGTGGGGGCTCCTGGACCCTCCCCATATCCAGCCCTGGAGGCCTACCTTAGGGAGAACTGGGACAGGCACAGCACATTCCCAGCCTGCCCCACACCCAGGGCCAGCAGGAGCAGAGAGCAGGAAAGGCCAAATGAGTGCATTTGTTGGAGGCTGAGCAGGGATAGAGAACCCTCCTGGCCTGGCCCCGAGCATGAGCCGCTGAGAAGCCCCAGTACCTGGCTGCAGGGCTGTAAGTGCTGAGGACTCAGGGCAGGCCTGGAGCAGCAGGCCAGGTCTTCTTCCATCAGAGTGGCCAGCCGCCTCTCTCGGGGAGGAAGGAGGAGGGGCTCCTGGGCTGGGGACCGAGATTAAGTTCCGCGTGGATGTGGGGAGAGGGGTATCCACTTGCACAATACGAAGCGGCTTTATGGATGAAGATGCCAAGTCCAGCTGCAGCTCTGACTTTCAGTTGCCCATGGAACATCCGGGTGGGAACAGGAAGGTGCATTACTACAGAACAGCAGGTCAGAAGGTCTGGAGCTCAGCAGAGAGGTCCCAGGGGGCGCCACATGCCAGGGCAAGGGTGGAACCCTGGGAAGGAGCACTCGGATGGCAGGTGCACAGCTCGGGAGGAAGCCTGGGAATTCCCTGACCAGGAAGGGGAGTGGGAGAGGTTTGGGGGGTGGGGCAGGAGGTTCTCAGCAGTGGCCATGTACCAGGTAGGGGAGGACCAGGAAGCTGCCCTTGGGTTTGCCAAGATGTTGGTCTTGGCCACTCGGGTCGGGAGGGAGAGGCCAGCAAAGGAGTGGAGACAGACCTCACTGAGTGGGGAAGAGCTGGGACCAGCTGATGGAGGGCCTTCTGAGATGGGCAGAGGGGAGGGATATGGCAATCGGTGAGGGGAGAGCCACATCCCCTGAAGCAGCAAAGAGGTGTGGTGGGGAGTGAGCTCTAGGGGGGAGGGCTGTTGGGGGACCCCCAGGCCCCAGGCTCCCCGACTCTCTTTGCAAAGGACCATTCCAGGCAGGGAGGCACGGGGAACCCTGAAGCTTGTGTGGGAACTGGTGACCGTATGTTCTGAGAACTGGAAGATAAGCTTGAGACAAGGCCACAGGGCCTCGGGACTGATGGTCGCCCTGTCGGGAGGACGCTACCAGCGGACAAGGGCTGGCAGAAGCAGCCAGCCTGGCCCCAGGAAATGCCGAGAGGAGAATGGTTGCGTCCCATGGGCAGATCCTGTCCTTTCACCAAGCATAACACTGGGTTTCTATGGTAACCTGCTTCTCCCACCAATGTGAGCTTCCACCCAGCACCGCCTGAGCACAACCCTGTGGTCACAGAAATGCCCAGGTATGGCCCTGGCCTTGGGGGGCCCACGGTCTGGTAGGGGAGACAGACACCTAGACCAGGGTTTGGGAGCGAGGACCAGGATTGGGGAAGCACTGAGCCAGGCCCAGGACCCACCCTTAGGAGTGGGGGTTGAGCTAGAGTTCACTAGGTGATGTAAGTTCAGAAGGGGGTCTTAAGGACTGGGGAGGGCTGGGAGGAGATGCAGACCCAGGGCAAGATCTCAGCAATGCAGAGAAACCTGAGGCCTCACGGGGAAGGCTGTGACTGTGGGCAGAGAGGGGCTCCTGCGGGCATCAGCAGCTGAGTCTGCCATGGGGAAAGTGGAGTCACACACAGATCCATGCAGATGACATGATAGCTGGAAGGAGGGGATCCAGGGGATTTTCCTTTCGCCCAGTGTGTCTTTCAATAAAGTTTAGATTTTTATAATGAGCACATATTAATCTTGTGACCTAAACACTCATAATAGTCAGAAAATGGAGACAACCCAAATGTTCACCAGCTGATGAATGGCTAACCTACATGTGGCTCATCTATCCAGGGGAACATTACTCGGCCATGAGAAGGAATGACGCACTGTCACCTGCTACGGCGGGGACTGACCTTGAAAATGGGACACTAGGTGGAAGGAAACAGATACGAAGGCCACGTGGTGCATGATTCTGTTCACACGAAGTGTCCAGAGCAGGCAGACCCACAGAGACGGAAGGTGGGCTGCTGGATGTCAGTTACCCCAGAGCGGGGAAGGAACAGACAGGGACTGCCTCAAGGGCCTAAAGGGGACAGTGTTTCTTCTTAGGATGATGAAAATGTTCTGAAATTAGTGGTGATGGTTGCACAACACTGTGAAGGCGCTAAAAGCCACTCCGCTGTGCACTTTAAGGTGGTTCAAATGGTGAATTTTATGTCATGTGAATTTTGCCTCAATTTTTTTTTAAAAGGACAGATGACCCAGCACAGGACCTGTGTCCCCGGGCCCACAGACCATATTTCTAAGCCAAATGACAAGCACAATAAAGTGGTTGAAATAAACCAGGCTGTAAGTTCAAAAGCTGCCCCCAGGCCCACCCTGCCTGCATCACCACTCATCCTTCCAGCTGTTTCCCACACAAACAGGAAACCTGAACTCTGGCCCCAGGAAAACCAAAGTGGCTCTGCGGCTCATCCATATTCATTCATTCACTGACCATTTATCCAATCAGCAAATATTTCATGACTGCTTTCCCTGTGCCCATGTTTCTGGTGAAATACATGGAAGGTTCTGCTCTTATAGTGCCTACTGTGGAAGGGGAAGACAGGGAGCAGATGCACGCTTGTCAGATGGTGGTGACCACAAAGCAGGAGATGGAGGTGGCAGAGAATGATTGGCGGGTGCAGTCTCCCCTGGAGCCAGCTGTGCCTGGAGGCCAAAGGACAGGCCATGGGAGAGAGACTGCAGAATCAGGGCCCAGAAGCAGGTCTTATGGCAACAGCTCAGAAGGTCATGTGTCCAAAGCCTCCAGGCCTTGCTCCTTTTCCAGCCCATCTCTGACACTGACCACTCCCCACTTCGACCACACTCCACTCCCTCCGGTCTTTCTAACCTCTCCCCCATGCTCCTTTGTTCCCTCTGCCTGGAGCTTACTCTCTTGCTTTCTGTCTCTGCCCTCTGCTTGACGACTCCTACCCAGTGATATGGCTTGGGTATCCCCTAGTTTCCCCCATGCTGTTCTGGTGATAGTGAGGGAGTTTTCATGAGATCTGATGGTTTGAAAGTGGGAGTAACCCTGCTCTCCCTCTCTCTCTCTCTCTCTCTCTCTCCTACCGCCATGTGAGATGTGCCTTGCTTCCCCTTCTGCTTCTGCCATGATTGTAAGTTTCCTGAGGCCTCCCCAGCCATGCAGAACTACGAGTCAATTAAACCTCTTTCCTTTATAAGTTACCCAGTCTCAGGTAGTATCTTTGCAGCAGTGTGAGAACAGACTAATATACCCATTTTTCACGCCTCAGCTCAGACATGGCCTCCTCCAGGAAACCTTCCTCAAATGCACTGCCAATCCCCTCCCCAACACCTGCCTGGGTACCTCCTCTGGGGTCCCAGAACCCCCATGTGTCCTGCCACTGATATGTCCTGAGTCGACGAGCTCCACTGCACAGGAGGCCTGTCTCACTCACCTGAGTACCAGTTACAGCTTCCTAGAGGCCTCTGCAAATATGGAGCTCACATTAATGCGTGCAACTTGCAATATATTAAGGAACATAATGTTTATGGTCATCTATAAAGGGTAAATGTTCATAATACACCTGAAAATTTAATTCAGATAGAGCTCATTAAGGCAAAAATAAAAATCTTTCACAAAATTACTTGGAAACAGTATCCATTTTCTATTCACTGAGTGTCTACCATACACAGGATCCTGGAATAAAAACTGCAAGGTAATCTTATAAGGACAAAGGCAAAAACTGTAAACAAAGCCCTTTCATGGGCTAGCTCTCGCTCTTCCCCTCTCATACACACACACACCCCCATACACAGACACACACTCACCCACACACCGAAGCTACCTCAGACAGCAGCAGCTGGGTTCCCGGCCACCAAGGGAGTTCACAGAGCAGATGATGAAAGACCTTTGTTTGCTCTGACCAACTGCTTATGGAAACCAGCCAGCAGACCTGTGTGCTGAC